TGCAAGTCTATGTCTTTGGAGGAGGGAGGGGTAGGGGAGATTATACATAGATAGGTACCACCATGACATAGCAGCATGTATCAGTAGTCATGGGGAGGGGTGGAGGAAAGAAAGTCCTGAACAGTCCTCGTCATGGATGGTGGAGGGGGGAGGGGGAAGGGGGAGGAGGTGCACGTTTGTCTATGGAGGACGGAGGGGTAGGGGAGATGGAGTGAAATTCTTTGGTGATTATATTTATTTTTGTATTTATATGTGTCTTCATTGGTACATAAAATTGTAGTTATTGATTTATATTCATATTTACATCTCTAATTATATACTTCAGTAATATATACATTTATAGATTAACTGATGACTGACTACTTAACTAACTATTCGAATATACTTATTTAGTTATAGCTCTGTCTGTCTGTCTGTCTGTCTGCATTATTCTGAGCACAGTTTAGTGACGTAATTCAACTGTTGTGACGTCATCATCTGAGACAAAGAGAAAAAATATCAGTCGGGTAAGTCATTGAAATAGTGTGGATGCGTGTTAATTATTTTTATTACCTTTACTTTAGTTGTTCATCACTGTTGTCTTTGCACTTATGGGCCTCTTGTGTGGAAAAAGAAAAGAATGCAAAAACAAAGCGAAATAAGAAATGGATGGGTGAATAAAAAAGCAAACGATTGAATAAATGAATGAAAAATTAATAGAAGAACGAATGGGAGTGAAAGAAAAAAGAAAAGAAGAAAGAGATGGAGGGCTAGATCCACTGTGCGTTGAATGAGTGAATGAATCGATTGGACAACTAACACAAGAAGGATAAATGAGATGACTGGAGATGAAAGACTTGCACCAATAAATGGACAGTTCACGAAATAAAACGAACTGATTAACGAATGAAGATACATCTTTCATTGGGGGAGGGCTTGGGCTTCAGAGGGGAGGGTCAATAGTAAAACAAAATAACGTTTTTGTCATGTCAAACATTTTTATTTTCTGACGAAAGATTTTTCCTTGTTAACTCTATAGGAGGGTCATATATTTCTTACTGAATAAAAAGGCGAGGGCTACAATCTAAAAAAGGTTTACTGCGAATCCTGCAGCCCTCTCTCCCCCATTATAAAAGGTACCTTCCCAAATGCATGTGAGTAACAAAAGTGTTTCAGTACTTACCCAACTATCCACAGCCATTAACGTCTGCTACAGCCTCGGTGACCATCACATCATTCTACTCCACTTTGGTACGTTATCAATACATTCTACAGCTTACTCGTAAATCATTGATAACCGATATGATAATATATATAAAAGCGGAGCTCCCGATACGGAAGCCACAGGGAGAACAATTTGAATGAAACTGAAAGGTGAAAATAAGATCGGGGAAAAAATCTTTAATTATTTTTTATTCGAAATGATGATAATTTCTCCCATAATAAAAACAATGTAGTGAAATCGAATCAAAATGCACTACATGAAAGTCTTCTTTGTTTTGTCGATTGGACCCCGCGATAGGAGGCGAACAAAG